ATCAAATTTTTGGCACCCTGATATTTCTTCATCTGTGAAAAACCTCACAAGAATTAATTAAATAATAAATGTGCAAGCAAATTGTGAATTGTAACGTGCTTTGTAAATGCTAATTGCCAGATGTCGAATGATACCCCTAAATTCCTGATAATCCAATGGCTTTCTGTGTAACTATTGCAAAATTCTAGCTCAATAACATTCCCTCATAGGACTTTTTCTCATTAAAAATGTAAATGTATTTGAGGTGATATTCTCCTTCATGGCATCATGTTTTAAATGAGCAAGTTATAGAAATAAAGTACCAAGATAATGGACCCGAAAATGTTTCCCTTCATTTTATTGAATCTACATGTATCTAGTACATTTTCTCAGGTACAATTTTACGTTATCATGTGTTCATGGCCCTGAGGGGTGTAGGGTGAGAATAATATGTTCCAGTGTCTTCCAAAGACATGATGGAACAAAGACTAGGTATCGAAGCCTTAGTCCCTCACCTTTATCTGCTTATCCTCCGGACTTAGCAAAATGTATGGCATAGAGAAGATGTTTAATACCCATCTATTAAATGAGTGAGCGGAAGTGCAAATAGTCACTGAGAAAAGCATGTACTACAGAGAAACTACCAACAGGCAATAACAAAGAGAAAGCATCCCGACCTGAAGACTGGTTGATTGTAAGGTCTCAGCCTCCACTGGCTGTGAATTTGGGCATTACTAGGTCTTTATGTATCTGATTCCTTGAAATTACCACAGAGGTAATAAACATAGTATCCCAGAGCTGTCTACATTGTGATAGAAACTTATTTAGAATTCCTGGTAAGCACTAAGCTACTTTAAGTCCCTGTGCCTTACTGTAAAATAACAAGTTTTGACTAGATGATATGGATATCTGTTCCATCTAGTTAAAGCACTGTCATTCTAAAATTAGCTGCAGTGAGAAAATAGATTAAAAATGCTTTGAAAAAAGTTAAAAGGGTTCTATATATGTGCAACATAAGTGAAAAAGCCAATGAGGGAAAGACAACATCTGGTCAAGAGATTCTAAAATTATCCATCATTCTTCTGAACCTTTCATGGCTTTTAAGGATTCTTTCTTTGGGGCCGCCTATCATTTGCCCACCATATCAAAAGCATCGTATATAATATACTATAATATTGGTCACCAACCTCAAAAACTCACTCTCTATATTTATAGCTGATATATAACAAAGAGCCCCATGTCATTAACGATATCTTAAGTTATCTTTTAGTTCACAGTTTTCCATGCGTTATTAATGGCATAACACATTAATTCTTCTTTCAGAAATGACCTTTACCACACCATTAATGCTCATAGCTTTTATCCAACTACATTATTACTCATTACAGTTTCAGCTTTCAACATCTGCATTTGTTGAAAAGAGAAAAGTAAATTGTAGTGGCCTCAACTCCTTGGAAAATATGAGGGATGTGTATGTGGTGAAGGGATATTTCAAGGAAATAAAATAAGAGAAATTTTAGTAGTGGAGAAAGTCAGATGATAAATGTCATTAAATACATTCTTGCCTTTCTAAAGTATTTTCTCATACTTAATCCTTGGAATGCTAAAGTATAAAATCCTCATATGAAAAAAATGCAGATGCATTAGTTATTCCATTAGTTTAATAGTCTAGTTTAATGACATAACAAAATAACTCATATACCAATATTGTGATATTTATGAGACTTTATGTCTATTATGGAAATAAATCATTCTTACCAAACAAAGTATTTTTTCCTTTACCCACTGAGCACATGAAAGCAAGTCTTATCTTGGTGTCCATGTAGGGTGTTGAACAGAGTAACTGAGAGTCTGACCATAACAGAATGGTGTATAATAATAAAAAGCATACGTACACCCCAAATTTTTCTCAAACTTCTCAGAACTTAGGTTTCCATTGTTTCTCTTCTTACTCCTCTCCCACCGCCCCAAACTGACTTCATCTTGGCAAATAATCTGGAATTGTACTTTGCGGAGATAGTAGCAATTGAAATACTCCCCTTCAGCTTTCTTTCTATTCATCCCACAATTTCTCCATAACTGTATCCTTTTTTTCTTCATTTCTTTCAGTCTCAGAAAAAAAACAATGGGTTATTCTCTTTTCCAAAGTGAATTTTTTCTCATCTCTCCTTCTTGCTGCATCATCACTCATGTGCTGTTTTATATCTATACATCTCTCCAACTCTTACTCCCATCGAAAAAATACATACGATTTTTCTATTCTAAAATCTATTACTACCGCCCTGGCCGGTTTGGCTCAGCGGTTAGAGCGTCGGCCTGCGGTCCCGAGAGACCCGGGTTTGGTTCCCGCTAAGGGCACGTACCTTGGTTGCAGTTTGTCCCCAGCCCTGGTTGGTCGTGAGGGTGGCAGCCACTCGATGTGTCCCTTTCACATCGATGTTTCTCTCTCTCTTCCTCTCTCCCCCTCCCACTCTACCTGAACAAAAAATAGAAAAATGTCCTCAGGTGAGGATAAAAAAAAAAAAAAAAAAAAAAAAAAAATCTATTACTACTCACTCATCTCAAAATCAGGTTTCAATACCAAACTTACAAAAAGACTGGTCTATAGATCAACTGCACTTTCTTCCTTCATGTTTTCAAATTCTTGTAATTGGAATTCTGCTCAACCTTTCTACTAAAACCTCTCTGATTCTACCTGTCCATGAGCCCCACTAAATCCTAATACTGTTCTTCTTCATGTTCTTTAACTTTTCTGCAGAATGTGGCACTATTAGTAACTCCTCCTTCTTAAACTGCTTTTCTTAGGCTAGCAGGACACTACCTTATCTTCATTCTCATTCTAAGATACTCACTGGCTTTTTATCAGTTTTCCTCCTACAAATGTGTGGTGGTTTTAGAATATGGGACCAAAGACACTTTGATATTCCTCCCTTTAAGACATGAGTTGGGCTGGACTTTGGGATTCTCTTATAACAAAAATAATAAAGCAGAACTGACTATGTGTGACTGTGGGGACCGGGTCATAAAGGCACTGTGGCTTTCTCTCTGTTCTCTCTCTCGAATCACTCACTCTGAGGAATACTGGCTGCCATGCTATGGGCAGCTCTATGGGAAGACCCGTGTGTCAAAGTACGAGGACTCCAGCTAACAGCCATGAGGGTCTTATTGAAAAATATCATCCATCCCTAGAAAAGTCTGCAGCCCTGGCTAACATCTTGGTTGCAACCATAAGAGAAAGACTAAACCAAAACCACCCAGATACATTGTTCCCAGATTCCTGACCTTTAGAAACTATGTGATAATAAATGTTTGTTTTGGGCTGTTGTTTTTGTGTTGATCTGTTAGGCGGCAACAGATAACTAATACAGTAGGTAATACCTATAATTCTTTACCCTACTTCTCTTTTTACCAGACACACTCTTTTCTTGTGGGGGATGGGGGTAAACTTATTTGCTCTGACGACTTCAGCGAGCTCAATAAGAAATGATTTTTATACCAAACATTCTAGCAATCCTTTTGAATATCAGACCTACATTTACAATTTCCTCATGAACATCTCTACATAAATGGCTCCTTGTGTTTCAAATTCAACATTTATTACATTTTTATATTTATGTCTTCCCCCAAATCTGCTTTCAATCCGGACTTCTCTTTCACAATTAAGGCACTATTCTCTTTATTTTATAAATTCAAAATCCTAGACTCTGTCTCCAGCTTGAACCTCACCAGGTACATTCTATTGTGGGTAACTTATGCCAATTCCTTAATAATACATCTGCCATCTATTTTCTCCTTTGCTTATCATTGCTTCTTCCTATTTCATGTAACATACTCTTCTCCTGCGATAGAACAATGATTTCCCTATTTCCAATCTCTTTCTGCTGCCAATATTCTTCTTAAAGTTCTGATCAGATTGCTGTCTGGAGAAAAAGTCAAAATTTCCTAGGATAGCATTCTCTCAGACTCCATCTGCCCTTTTCAGTGTTAGCTCTGATCACTTTCCACTACACCCTCATTCTATACCTAGCCAATACCATTTTACTCTGTTTTGTTTTGTTTTTTCTTGTAGTCTAAAATGTCTAGGACTATATCTCTTCTTCAAGGTTCCATTTGAATTGGACTATCCCCAGTTTAGCCCCCCTTGATCCTTCCCGAAAAGAATTCAACACTCTCCTCTTTATGGCCGAAGGATCATCTCTGTGCTCTGGAATACTACCTGCTAAGGCTTTGCTTGTGCTATAAGATGACTTCTCCCCTAACTAAACCCAAGCTCTTTGAGGACTGGTCTGTGCTAGCCTCCTCTTCATAACTCTATGCAAATAATAAACATAGTAATACCTGTGGGATTAAGCAAGTATTTACAGTCTTATTTATGTCATTAAAATGCAAATTATTGAAACATTTTTTTATTGTTGAAAGTATTACAGATGTTCCCCCATTTTTCCCCATTGACCCCCTCTTTGAAAAAATTTCAAAAGTTAGCTTACAGAAAAATATTTTAGTGTTTGCTTACTCTACTGAAATGACAATTTTGGGAAAACAAAGCTATCTACTTTTTATAATACTTTTAATATATTCAGGTAAATTTCAAGAGGTATGGAACAAAAACAAACTTCACATCCTGATGGCTGACTGCTAGTCCAGTCAGAAAGTATTTCATTATTATGTCAACTTTGTGCACATCACAAAAAATAAAAATACATTTCAGTGATGCAAAAGGCAGGTCACCTAACAACAGCTTCTGTGATTAGTCATTAGGTCTCGGCTGTATAAGCTTAAGAACATCAGTTATAGCAATAAACATTAGCAGTTCAATTCAATTTTCAGGGGGACATTACAACTTGGAGTTCAGTTATAAATTTCATTTGCATGTTTAAAACAGACCTGTGAGAGTCATCGAATTGGAACTCTCGTATAGAACTAAAGCCATGCACAGGGTACGCGTGATTTGCCATTAAAAGATGATTTCATTCAATTGCCATAAACAGAACATCAGCAAGAACAAAAGAAACAGGACTTACCTATTGTGCTAACTCTGGCTGAAGGACTAGCTAATGCTGCTGGGACAGAGGCTTTGAGGGGGCCTGCCCCACTGTTTATTCTCAGAGCTGGCATATGGGGAGAGGTGGGTGATGTGGGTGATTTGCCATCAGAGGTCTTGGGTTTAGCTGAGAGGTTCAGTGGCTGTGCCACTTCATCCTGCAATGATCATTAGAACATGAGCTGTGATAAGGAGAAGCGGATTAAAAACGCCTAGATAAACACAGGTATAGCGCCTGTCATTTCCCATCAAGTCACTCTACCGATCAGTGATCTTAACATTCAATCTGAACATTACAAATGTTTGGTCAGCTGTCAAAAACATCACTGTGAACTACATATTATGAAAAACCTTTTGTATAAGATAAAGTACTTGTGCGTGGGACTAACCAGAAAGCTCAGATTTGATGTCACCTGTAAGAAATATTCTGAGACCTATTATTTTTATTGAGAGACAATGCAGAGTTCATATAAAATTATGATGCAGATGGGTTCTTTCCAACCTCCAAAGAACAGAGGGTGAGTCCCAAGCATCTTTACACCCCGGTGCTTAGGGAGAGTAGCTGGAATATCCATGACGAGGAGTTAAATGGAGTGAACCTCTGATCAGAACTGCTCTCAAAATTAAATGCAAAAACGGAGAAAACTTTCTAACTCTTAAAAATAACCCTTTTCTTAAGTTCCACAAAAGCACTTTTAATCTAAAATTTAAAATAAACACAATTAACATTATACTAATATGTATTATATATTTATGTGCAACACTGTTCTAAACACTTAACATTACATTTTTTAAATCCAAATTTGTTTCACAGATTTTCCTCACAGTGCAATACATGGTAGTGTAAAGATCTGTACGTGATCAGTTCAGCAGGTATGGTGGTGGGTTTCAATTTTTCTATGCTTGAACAGGTCAAGTTTACGTAGTTCACATTTTATTTTATACCTATCTACATTAGCCCTTATAGGTACAATTACCACTTAAATTTTTGTGACAATATATAAGAATCAGACATTAACATTACATCACTTTTCTTTCACTACAAATAAAAAGTTATTCCTTTTCTGTGCTCTAAAATTGAAATATATCATTTGTTTGTGTTTTATTATTTACATTATATCCAATCTTACACAGGTATTATTGTAGAATAAAAATATAGTTTCCACCCTGGCGGAGTGGCTCAGTTAATTGGAGCGTCATCCTGTATACCCAGAAGGTTGTGGGTTTGATTCCCAGTCCGAATACATACCTAAGTTGTGGGTTTGATCCCCAGTCAGTGCGCATACAGAAGGCAACCAATTGATGTTTCTCTCATGTTGATGTTTCTCTCTCTCCCTCTCTCTCTCTCTCTCTCTCTCTCTCTCTCTCTCTCTCTCTCTCTCCCCCCACCCCCTAAAAATCAACAAAATCAACAACAACAAAAAATATCCTGGAGTGAGGATTAAAAAATATATACATATATATTGTTTCTACTTAACTACTGTTTTTCAAGAGTTAAGCACATAAAATATTGACCAGTAGTAGCAGGATAACTTGTAGAAAGTGGAACAATTTAGAATTAAATGGTGTGATTTGGTGACATGGAAACATGTTAATTAATGTGTACAAAATTGTATGTATATATTTACAAAAAAACACACTGAAACAAGGCACTTTATTAAAATAGTAAAATGGTGTAATATAACATCTATTTCAAATTTGTATTTTTGAAAGTTGTTTATTGTTATTAGGTTTTATGGTTAGATGCACTTATAAAACCCATAAACAGGCCAGGGAAAATGACTAATACTTTTTTTTCTAATTCTATTTTCTGTTTCATAGAATAGAATAGTTATATGACAATCCATGACATAATTCAAATGGTAACCTGGGATCATGTTAGATGCATAATAAATCAATGACCATCATACCAAATTATATGGATTCATAGACTTTTGGAAAGAAGTGAAGTAAGATAATTCCATGACTGGCTTAATATATAATTTTGAAAATGTTACTTTAGCTTTATAAAAAGTACAGGGCAAAATCATTTCTACACTTTTCAATCTGAACATTTAGTTGAGCCAGTCAGCCATAATCCTTATATGACATGCTACGGTTGGCAGAAATCCAGGGGCATTGTTTCCCTGTTTTACTCTACTTCAGCATGAGTGACTATGTCTCAAAATGTGGTCCTTGGACTAGTACCACCAGCACCACCTGGGAACTTGTTAGAGAGGCAAATTCTCTATCCTGAAAACTTTGGAGGTGGGTTCCAGCAATCTGGGTTTCAACAAGCATTCCCAGGTGATTCTGATGCACACTAACGTTTGAGAGACACTATCTTATATAATATACAAGGAAATTATTAAAATATATAATTATTGGCTTCAAAGGCCTTTTAAAAACTTCCTCAGTATAATGAGGGAACATTAAAACTTACGTAATATTATCTCAATCTTTAAAATTTTATCAGAACATACCATCTATGCTAATAATAATAAATGAAAACATGCATATGCATAATAAACTAAATGCTGCTCAGATTCAGTGAGCTAATAAGGATTAGAATCCAAATTTTCTCCCTGTTATTCAGCCAAAATAGCCTGTCAAATAGGAGCTCCATTGACTGCTTACTATGCAGCTCTAAATATTCTAGGCACTTCCCCCCACCATCAATCGTCGCACCTGCTTACTACCTTCTGTGTGAAACCACTAGCTTTTGTCATGACAGCCTGAAAACTTCCTTTGACAGCATCACAACTCTTGCAAAAGTTTTGAGGGGATGCTTGGAGAGACTGAAAGTGGCAGTTGCACTTGACTGTGCAGAGAAAAAACAGAGGGGGCAATAGATTCACAGAGTTGCAGCAGAGATTTGTGAGCACAGAGGAAACAGTGTGAGTGTGTGTAGAGAGGGGATGGTGGTGGTGATGAAGATGGTGCAGATGTGGAGCTGACGGGGTGAAAGGTCACCAGTACGCTGTAAGCACGAAGAGCTTGCACGTGAGCATACTGAAAAATGACTGCCCAAAACAGTTCTCAGAGCAAGAGATTCGCTGGAACTCTTAATATTCGCCTCCATTCAAGGCATCATAGTGTCTGAAAGTCAAGAGTGCAAAGCCCCAAGGACATAACAAAGGTTGACAGTCCCAAAGTTGATAGAAATGTCATTCATAATTGCCCTTTAATTCTCTTTCATTGTGTGACCAGGCTAATGGTATATTAATAGGAACCCACATGCTTAATCCTTTTACCAGTAACAATACACGTAGTTTTGACCCATTACATGATATTATTTCACAATTTGATTCTTTTAATAATTTATGACAGAGCTACTATACCAAATGCCTGCTTTCATGAAGAGTGAAAAATTACAGTAGTTTCCCATTTTCTATTAATTACTTTCTACTTGATAAAAATTTAAAAACCCTAGGTGTAAAATGGGAGTGGACTATTTATTTTTGATATGCATCCCCAAAATTATGCACAATAAATGCCAAATGTAAGGCTTTTTCTATTTTGTTTATTTGCACTATCTCATTTAGGAGAAATTTAAAGCTTAGCATGATTGTGCTGTATTTTTACATATAAAATATACATTTAAAATTAAGATAAATAACTTACATATAGGCAAATAGAAGTAATTTTCAAGGTCAAGAAAGCATTGGAAAAGAGCATTTCTATCAAGTTCACCATCAAGCAATGAAGAGAGCAATTTTCTTTTCATTGCTGGTCCAGTTGTTAAATTACCTTGTCAGTTCAAACTTTTGAAAACAGCATATATCGTACTTATTTCATTTACATACAAAGTGATAGTTATAAAGAATCTTAACGTGTCTGTTGAATGGCTATTAACATGTATATGATAAATATAGAGCAAGCATTTAAGCTGAAGTTAAGTTTGTAAGTTAAAGTAAGCACATTTTAGCTAATAGAAGGCTATTATTTACATTTATAGAATTATAAATATTTCAAATAATTTATTTAATTTTCAATACTATGAAGTAATGAATAACCCAAGAGAGGTAACTAAGGTTCAGAAAGTTCTAATGAACCCTGGTGTTTGTACTCAACATACAATATTCTTTCTTCACATGACAAATTTAAACTTAAATTTAAAAAGATGTTCATGGAATATAATTGCTGAAATTCAGGCTTAACCATAATAATATTACTATATAATAAGCTACATAATGGTCATTACACATGCACTAATAAAATGAATACACACATATGCTACTTTATACATTAATTTAAAAGTCGAAGCACAAATCATTGACTTATTTTGGTGATTTTTTAAAATTCTTTGTTTCCTACAGTATATAGTTTTGAATATTTCCTTCCCTAATACTAAAGAGTTAACTTAGACTATTTTTTGAGAAAAAAATATCTAGGGTTTGTGTACAGTATACCAAAAATATAACAAGGCATACAATAATGTATAAGACAATACTATTTTGTACATCCATATACAAGTCTTGGGAACCCTATTCATGTTATAGCTTCTTCTAATACAGTAGTTTCTAATCTTAGTTGTCTGAGATGGAATGCAATGCACGTACAACCCAAACAAACATAATAGTTCAGGCATGTTCCACTTAGAGCTACTATAACTGTCTGAAAGCAAACACTTCATTTAATATCAGCTTGTGGTCACAATACTAAAAATATCATGAAGATCTTAATGAAATCGTATCCCAGCCAATGAAAACCCCCACACATATAAATAATAAATTAGATAAGGAAGTAATTTTGACACAGATATATAGCCTTGGATGCACTGGAGAAATACCAGTTGTCATCATGAATGCAAGGATTATGCCATGTAAACTTAGCAAACACTGTAAAATATAAAGTTAAATATATATTTCATTTAGATGGTTTTCAAGTAATAAGTGTATCCTAGACAAAACACATTACTAAAAATAACTGTATAACATTTATAATGTTATAGTGAACAAAGATGAAATACATTTTGATGTTTGATTACAGAAGTCAGTTTTAAATAAAAAATCATTCTCCAGAATCCTGGAGGGTGTTGTCTCTCTTCTCAATCTTTGGCCTTCATTCATTTCTTTGCTAAGGGATTTTAATATAGAACTAGAAAATAAGGATATCAGTATCCTAAAGTCTACTTCTTGCTTTCTATTTGCATCCTTGTTTTTCACAACATGGAAAT